CTTATGGCAATATTATTTTCTTTCCAGTTATACTGGACTATCTCTTCTCCCGACTGGGTTCAATCTATACCTAACGTGCGTTAGAGATCATTCAGGGATTGGACTAAGTGCCCGTTTGCGCACGTAGCTAACAATCCAAATTTACACATGTACGCATTGCGGATGTATATTTTCCCAGTTTCTCAACTGCGCAAGGTTCCTTTTATATAACGCTGACGCTTACAGTCTAGACAGCATTGTTACTCACCCTGGATGGGATGCTGGGCCATGACACGGTATCCACAGTATTGCTATCAGTAGTCTCCTACGCAGGTATCATTATTGCTCATCACGCACTCCAAAGATTCCGTGACAAGCCTAAAGAGCGTCTGCGTGCGTAAGCGGCTATGATTGGTTGAGTTACAGCTAATTTCGAACTTGATTATCCGTCGAACTCCCCACAAAAGAAACAGATATTATTCCTCCCAATTATAATAAATGAGATGGTGGATTCTTAGCGTGATAATTATATGAAATGATTTTTTTTGCCCATGACACAGGCATACTCGCATTAAAGAATTCCGAGTTCTCTAGCTAAGAGTGATCAGGCTGGAGTGGAACCTAATACCCGTCCAGATGCTGGTTACCGGTCCAGATGCTGTACTACTGGGCTACAGGAGACTTATGGGTGCGAAGGCAGGGGCGGTTTTAGGGGAAGGTTGCAGGGGGTGCGCACCTCACCAGTCAGTTACGCCTTTCCTTAGTGGTGCACCTCCTCCTAAGAAAAATCCTTGATCCGCCCCTGGAAGGCCACTGAACTAAGTTAATGTAACAAACATCCTGCTTACTCATACTGCTATTAGTGGAATGTCACTGTATTCGCAATGGTGATAAATGTGATGGGGGACTTTCTGGAGACTTCGCGTGGTTTTGTGCATTCACTCTATCTTCTGCAGGCTCTGAAACGGGATTGAGAAAATTCGCTCATGTACGAATTGCGGATCTACATTTACCTAAGAGTGGTTGAACTCTACTTTCTCATTGCAATACCAATACATGACCAATCAAACGGGTGACGAGAATAAAGACAATTATCAGCTAAGTGATAT